AGGGACCACGAGATTTCAATAGTTGTGAACCTCTGTTATCCATGTCTCTGCTACGACCACCACAGTCCTCTTAATGGAGAAAATAAGAACTTGTTTTGAAATGTGATGAAAGTCATTGTGTGGATATTCTGTTGGATCTGCAAAGTGAATTACAACTTGGATGCTATAACTGGATATTCTGGAATTACAACTTCGATGCTGTAACTGCCAAAGCATTTTAAAAGGATTGTTTATGGATATAAAATGCTTGGAGGAAAAATAATGTATACGTAAAAGTGTTACGTGTTGACCATTCGTTGCACGAAACATTCTTTACAAGGGACAATACATTGTATCTATTCCTCATTGATTATCTTTCTTATCCTATGAGGAACTTTACAAATTCAAAAATACTGAACCATAGTATCAGGGTATTAATTATTCTATAATGAACAAGCATTTGGAGAGTATTGCATAAACAATACTTATTCCTTACCAGCAATGTTCTGGTTCTCCTTAAAATTAGAGTTATAGGTGCAAAGAAAAAATTCTATAAAAATTATCGAAGTGGAATGAAATGCAAACACGATCTGTAACTCTATAACAGAAACTTGTTTTTTTTCTGCCTCAATTCTTGAATCAAAATTTGATGATAATCCTGATAGATTCATCAACTTTGACTGTAAGAGTTGTTTCCCTTCTATATTCTGCATACTTCATGGTGTTTAAAAATCTCCCAAGACTGGGAATCATATGGATATAAAACAATGTACAGTAACAGTTCAATTTATTTTCTAATTCTAACAAACTCAGCTGCAGCAGTTTGCAATTTATCCAAAAAAAATCATTACAAAACTAAGAAAAAGTATTTTTGAAAATCATTCTACTGTAACAGTGTTCTACTCTGAAATTAGTATTTTAACAAAATATATAACATTCTTCATGCAGATTTTTTTAAGAAGTCTGACAACTACTTAAAAAGCACAACAAAGAAAACACCAAAAACTAATGCCCTGTTCACACGGAGAGTTTAATTCGAATTAAACGTAAGTTACTGCGAATTAAATTTGATCCGCGTTCACACGGAGAATTTAATGCGAATTAGTTTAATTCGAATTAGTTTACTGCGCATTAAATTACTTCGCATTAGCTCCGTGTGAACGCTAAGCGAAGCTAATTCGAATTAAATTTTGACGCATGCGTAAGGGCAGAATTAAGTCACAGGCCACATGTCGATGGTCAAATATAGGTACTTGTGCTATTTTTGAGTGGAAAACAAAGGAAAATTATGTTAATCACTAAAATATGTACAGACACTATGACATTATGTCAAATGTAGATCTGCTCTGCACAAAATGACGTGATTTGTAAATGACGTCATAATAGCCTTACTGAATAGCCTTGTAGAAATAAAATTTTAATTCGCATTAGTTTACTTCGCATTAGCTGTCGTGTGAACGCAATTTAATTCGCATTATTTTGATTCGCATCATTAATTTACTGCGAATTAAACTCTCCGTGTGAACAGGGCATAACATTCAAGCAACAAAAAAAGAAGATTATTACATTAAAGTTATTGCTCTAATATTAAAAAAAAAAATGTTAATGCAATTACATATACATTGATAATGAATCCATTCTAAGGGCACTTAGGGAAGGGACAACAGTAACAGAAGTCTACTTCATAATCAGGTGAAATAACAGTTCATTCGAAGTTCTTTTTGGTGAATAAATAGTAAGATTCTTTTAGACTAGCTGAAAATAATCTAACACTGAAAGTTTGTACTATATACTCTCATTATATGAAAGAGTGTGCAAGATTCAATTGGTTCATACAAAGTAAATGAGAATGAAATATTTAAAATGTTCAGTATAAATGTAAATTTTCTCAAAAGTAAACAAATATGATGTGGATGTATCTGTTTATACCAATGTAACTGTTAGTCTGGGAGAATGCTGCAGAATAACTACTCTAAAGAAATACTGAATGTCATTGGTTAAAATGCTGCCTCCAAATCGTACATAATGCATATTTGGCATTTAAGGTTTTCAAATAAATCAAAAGGTTTGGAATTTGTTCACCCTCTCACTGGAGAGTCACACACACATGTTCTACGGTGGTATTATGCTGTAAATAAGCTTTCCTCCATGTGATCAAGACCAACATTTTACAGCATTTTAAAACTACATGTGGACATTCATCATCATAAATTAGAAATGCACCAATTTGGACATAGGAAGCCCCCCTCCCCCCCCCCCCCCCCAAAAAAAAGAATAAAAATGCTACATATGAGTGAATCTTTTTATACACCCTTGATAGGAGAAAAGAAGGAATCTACACAGATTCTGAATAGGTGCCGCTAAGAACTACATGCTTTTGATATATTAATGTGACTTGTACTGGTAACTAAATGATGCTGCATGGTGATATAGAAGTATAGTAATTTATGTCAAGATCCTATAAGAAATGTGACTATATATAAGACCTATATTATGCTGATACTGCAACAAATATTGCTATGAGAAATAATTCTTCATATAAAAAAAATGAGGGTTTTTTTTCGGACATCAATAAAGATCCACTGCTCTAAAAAATGGAGGCAAGCAAAGCATTTCTTTGGATACAAATGAAGATAAACATACACACAAATAATATGAGCAGCACGTGGTTGAGTTAGGATTATTATACATATAAATAAAGTGGACAGCTGCTTATATAAAAGGGGGGATCATCAAAAAAAGACACATAACCAAGTCAATCAACAAAAACTATTTAAATAAAGTGCCCCGCCACAGCATGATACGCCCGTCAAATATTGTTCAATTGTCATAAACAGTTTAGAATGCAAGAAAATCATGTCTACCTTGATACAAGGATTTCAAGGATTTTTCCATTCCTTATAATATTCGTTTATACATCTCCTGTGGTGTAGACATTAATTATAACAAATATTACATTATAGATCCTCAACTGGTTGTGTTAGAGCTTGACAAATGCCCATCTGCAACCCCCCCCCCCCCCCTACACTGAACTCATTAATCTTTAACTGGATGCATGTCCACTCATTACTCCCAACAGATGAATGGATCTATACATACTATCTGCTTTGTTGTGCAATAAAAATGCATATTTATGTCATTCTGAAATTAAATTTGAAAACAAAATTTTTTTTTTAAATTTGTTGAAAAGATTTATAAAAAGAAACAAAAAACTTGTGTAATCTTGATGTTCATCTTCATTTTTAATAAGGTTCCTGCATTACTCTTAGATTTGTAGGGACTATCTACCATAATTAAAACTTTTTTTTTAAAATACTTGATTTTTTTAGATTTAATGTCAGACTGGTTTTAAGCTGCAATTCATACAAACAATGGGCATGCTGATTCCAATATCATCCCCCCTCCCGAGTATAATTAGTTTTAAATAAATTATACAATATCAAATTAGTTTATTATACAAATTAATTTATCATACAATATCAAATAAGTTTTAATTACTTTTCACCAAATTCATTTTAAAAGTTAGGCTAGCCAACTATTTAATCCAACACAGCTGATTCTTTTTGCCCAGTTCCCAAGAGATATAGATAACACCTGCTTGATAAGAGATGCTCTACCAGTTAGCTCCTCACACTAAACTCATTAATTTCTCTCTAATTTGATGTGCAATTTTCTGTTATCAAATTCTCCTTGACCATTGATAATTACACCCATGGGAGAGGTGGAATTTCTCTTATAACATTACATTTGTTACAGATTGCTGTAAAGTATATAATGAAAAAAAAAAAGTATTTTCTTGATTTAACATTTTTTTAATAAGGATACTGCAACACTCTTGCATTTTTTGGGATTGTGTAATCTAATAGTAAAAAGACAGTTTTTTTTTTAAATTTCACTTAAATTAAAGGTCACAGTGACCTTGAAATAGGTCGCGACACACTTTCTACCTAAGATGCATAAATTGGCCAAGTTTGATGATTCTAAGTCCAATAGTTTTCTAGTTATGAGCCGGACAGGATTTTTCCATATTTGGCCATAGCATCTTAATTAAAGGTCAGAGCGACCTACTTTAAATGTGCGACGCACCTTCTACCCAAGAAGTATCAGCTGACAAAGTTTGATAATCCTAGGCCTAATAGTATTGAAGTTATGAGCCGGACACGAAAAAGCTAACAGACGGACAGACGGACGGACGGACGGACATGAACGCCATAACATAATACGTCCCGTCTAAAGATGGGCGTATAAAAACTGAAGTTGAAATGCATTTCAGATTTATGTCAAAAATATACATAGAAATGATCATTGAGTGGAAAAAAATAGAGAATATAAATTATGCATTTCTTATACCATCAGATTTGCTTTGATATAATATTGTAATATCAAAAAATGTAATTTTTTTTTACAGATTAATACACATATGTTTTTTAGAGGATGTACATAAAACAGTTCAATATGGTTATAATGATATTTTGTCAAAAGCAAACAAAAAAAAAAAAAGAAAAAGAAATAGCATTACAATATTTCCCATTTACTTTTGACTTGTAGTCCAGATACTTAAATACATGTACATAATGTACTAGTACAATCAAAAAGCGCACTTTATCAAAACTGAAATCTCTCCTCTCCCCCCTCTCTCTCTCTCTCACAGAACTTATCAAAAATAGCACATTCTCTTCTTGCTTTCTTCAGATATAAACAAATCAAACTGGAATTCTATGCACTTGGTCATAATCAAAATGATATGTGGATTTAATGGCAAAGCAATATTGGAAAATCTATCAAAGAAACCAACTCATTTAATTAGAACCTATCACTCCCCTTCAGTAATTGTTTAAAAGCTCACACCAAATCATTTTACTCCTAATAGAACCAGCTCTGCACTCTAACTATTCTTTCATTGCATAATCTTTCAATACACAAAAGTTTACATCTTTTATTCTAATCCTGAATAAAACAGTCATTCCTCTATGTCAAATCATTGATAGTCTTTAGATGTAGAAACCAATCATTCCATTCCATGAGATCCAGTAGTTTCACTCTGCCTTTTGATTGGCTATTCTCTGAATGTAAAGACAATTTACACCAATCATATCACTTCATGAGAACTAGTTGCTCCACTCTGCCCTTTCATTGGATAATCTCCAGATGTAGAAACAGTTTGCAGCAATCATTTGCACAACTCTACCAAATATGATGTCTTTGGGATAAAAATTCCTCACCAGGTTAAATGGGAATGTGTTTAGAATTGTTACACCTTGACTCTCGTAGAACAAGTTGCTGGTCATTTGTGTGAACATGAACACTACTGCCAACTTCATGGTCAGGGGAGATTTCCAGGGTGTTATTTCTTCATCCAGGTATTCATAAGTATCCCATGAGTATTCGCGCTAGGAAAAAGCAGTATAATTCAATATCTTATTCTCAATCTTATTCTTATGAATTCTACTTCATTAATAACTTTTAAAATACAATAAAACCTTAATTGTTATCTTGAACTCAAAGGGACTGAGAAAAAAAATTTATAGATACTGGGTATATCCAAGGATTTGAGATATCAAGGGTAAAATAGTTGAAGAATAAGTGGTTGTGACTTCCAAATCAGTTCCAAATATCACTGGTATTTGAAATATCAGTATTCCAGATACCAAAGAGTAACTGTAACTTTATTTGAAATGTGTATACATGTATTACTTTATAAATAAATAGATTTTCCAATGTATTTTTTAAAAATATTTTTGTATTGATTATACAGGTTTACAGTAATGATAATTATACCTGCAGTTCATCTATTCTATTCATGGATTCTATAATATACAGAATGCTATAAAGACGAACACCCAGAGTCAACAGGAAAAATGGTCGCAAAAACTTCATAAGAAATCCAATGGCCAGGCCTGCACTATCTGTCAAAACATCAAGGCAATAACATATTTCCTTTTGTAAAATAAAGCACAAATTTACAAGAAAAGCAAGTTTCATTTACCAACTTAAAAAACCTGCTGTTTAAAGTTAATACCGGTACCTTTTTTTTTACCGATATAAGGAAAATGGAAATATAATATAGCATATAACTTACCAACTGTGCTATTGAAGATGAACAGTCCCAGATGAAACATAGACTGTTTGGGATCATACCTATAAAAGCAATTAGCAAATTACTGCTAAAAAATCTTCTTAGATGTGAAAATTTTCTTTCTGCGTAAACCCAAAATTTTCTGTATGTAACTGTAAATGCATTGCATCATTCATTATAGTAGCTGATATCAGTTTGTTGAAGCTCTATTTGTATGCATGAATTCACTATAAATAAAGAAAAATCTTTTGGTCTAATGCAATCCTATGGAAGTGGGTAGGTGCCAGGTAGAAATAAATATTTTATCTGGCAGCCACCAAATAATTATCTAGTGGCAGCCACATAAATAACTGGCGGCTGCCAGAAAGTTATCTGGCGGCCACCAAATAAAAAAATCTGGCTGCCGCCAGATAACTTATCTGGCAGCAGCCATATAATTTCTGGCGGCTGCCAGATAACTTTCTGGCAGCCGCCAGTTAATTATGTGGCAGCCGCCAGATAAAATATTTTTCTACCTGGCACCTACCGGCTTCCGTACTATCCAGATAACTGTGTTATGCACTTACTGAAACCAGGTTGATGGAGTCTTAAGAGGTGAGTTGATGAGAGTTGTCTCCTCCTTCATGGCATAAAGAATACACACTGTACACATACAAGTGAAAGCTGCATCACATAGGATTCCATCCTGGGACATCCACATCATGTTGTGTACCGCTACACACATAATCAGCACTAAGAACATCAGTCTACAACAGTGAGAAAATATATCTTTCTTTTAAATATTAATCTTCTTTTTTTACCCATTCTTTAATCAATCATAGATAACTGTGGAATCATCATAGTTCTTGGGGAACCAATTTTCATGGATTTTGTGGATCACTCTTACACCCACAAATTTACATCCCCCCTGAACAATTATTTTGTTAACATATTTATTAACTGAATTTTCTGTATTTATTGGTTACCTACAAAATTACGTCCTCTTGAACCAACGAAATTGCTTTCACACGAACCTTAACCCCCAAGAATAACCCAGTAAAATGATTCCACAGTACCATATTGGCATAATCATGATAATTACTAGTATTTCTGAAACTACTTTTTTTCCTCTTGAAACTTACTTTGAAATTAGAAATACCCACATTTTAATTTTTTTTAATACAATTAAAATCATTTTTGCATCCTTTAAAATTTGCAGTTTAATAGTAAAAATAATTATAATGTGTTAACTAGTCAGAAGGGAAAAAAATAAAATTTTGATCAAATTAAATGCAATTTGCTAGATTCTGAAATTTAATTTTAAAACATGCACTTACAAATAATGAGTTGTGGAGCCAGTAGAATAAATCTCATACAGAAAGGATGCCATTAGTGCATAACAGCCAGCAGAAAATAAAATGATGATTAGCTAAAATAAAGGAAAAAATCATAGCTTAATTTATTTCAAAACACTAAACACAATTGGGATTCTTGAATAAGATATGATTAAACAACTAAAAAAAATCAATAAGTTTTAATTATTTATTTTAAAAGAAAATATTATAGCTTTGTTTCAATTAACTAAGTGCAACAAGGAATAATAATATTTGATTATAAAGTTATAAACAAATTTATTTTTAGAATTAATTCTTCACATTCAAAACAAAATGAAAATTCAGTAGTATTGCAATTCATAATTATGACACATACTCATTGTCTGAAATTGAAAATTAATACATTTATAAGGCCTCAAAAAATTAATCTTTAGTTTCCCTGACAAAAATTTTCAAAATTCAATGTAGCAGGCAGGTCTTTTTTTTATTTAGGTGTATTCTTGTCAGTCAATAAAATGATATCAATCGATTCTTACATCTGTTGTACTTTTATATTACTGTATACAGGGTTATTTTCGCCCCGTATTATTTTCGCCCTTTCACACAAACAAACAATTTTGCCCCATTTTAAATTCACCAAGTAAGGGTCCTGTTTAACAAATTACACTGTTTTCTTTGAATTCACCCCGTCTTAAATTCACTCACTTGTGTCTTGGGCAAAAGGAGCAAAAATAAAATGGAGGCAAAAATTTCCCTGTATACAGTTATTTTATTTTGTATTCAACTTTAAACAATGTTATTCCAAACATTTTTTAAAGTTAATTCCTAAAGTACCATTTTCACTTTTCAAAAAGACATGCATTGTGTATCTAATCGAAAGTATATGAAAAGGGACATAACTCAATTTTGTTTTTCAACTTGCCTTGAAAAAATAGAAAATTGAGTGATTTCCCTTTTCAATAAGTCACTAAAATTGATTTATGCGACAGTGTCTGACCTGATGCAATGGTGTCTCAGTAGTCAGTAACATTAGATAAATATTTTTAGCCTAATTACACAACTTGTTAATAGAATATTACCATAAGCTGTAGCACATAAAGCATAGAGTAAATAGAATAGTCCTTAAGGAAGCTCTAAACACCAATGAAAACCTTTTTTTTTGGATTTGAGAACATTTTATCATATAAAGGTGTACATAATGAGTTAATCTTGTTTGTTTTTAAGATAAGGTACCTGTCTTATTTCTCCAGGAAAATAGTTCAAAGATAATGGAGATTTAGTAAACAAAAATAAATGTTTACTTACATTGTAATAAATATGTGAATTCTGTCTTCAATAACTTTATCTTGGTCTAATATAATGTTAAGAATACTTTAAAGTATTATAAATTGTATCATTAACTATCACAAGTATAGGGACAGATCACTCTAGCTGCATAAATCTACCCTACAATTAGAGCTCTTTAGTGTACAGTGTTTAGAGCTTCCTTGGGAATAAAAAATTCAATTTCTGACAAAAAACTAAATTCACAAACTTTTCATCAAGCACCATCCCCACCCCACCCCTCAAAAACTAAATGTGATGAATGTTGATTCAAATCTAATTATGAAGTACTAATATTCATTACACTGTAAATAATTTATTTAGCTTTTGTTGGTTGATAGAAAGATATGTGCCAAGTGCATAAAGTCTCATGTACAAAAATTTCTTGTTGTGTAATTATAGATGTTGGACGACAAAAACTTTTGGGCTCTTGAGACCCCCCCCCCCCCCCCCCCCTCCAAACTATTTTGATTTACTTTTTTTATCAGGCATCAATCTTTTGACTTTGCCCCTAAAACATCAAGGATTTTATCAACTCACCTTAAATAAAGATGAATCGTCTTCTTGTATCCTGACACAAACACGCTGGCTACACCTCATTTGGAAATTAAGAGCAAGGACAATTTCTGTAATCATCAGCACTGGACCAGTTATCCATAGTAACTTATCATACAACCAGATAACTGGCCAAGGAATCAGGTTGATAGGCACATAGTACACAATTAAAACCCATAATCCAAAGCTCAGATATGGAACCACTGAATGCTGTAAAATGATAAAGTATTTCATCCTGAAAACATCTGTTATTACATAATTGTACAATCAGATGTACATAAACAGGTCTGGGTGGCCTCCGTTTTTGGAGGATAGCTAGATTCAATATGGCGACCAAAATTTTTACCATATTTTGAAACCGCATTGCATTGTGGGATAGTTTATCCTCCGATTTCAGAGGATAACACAGGTAATTTTAAAGGCCTCGTGCCTACCTTTAATCAAAAAGTGCAAGCACCAGAGTACATGTAAATAAAAGTTCAAACATTAAACTATCGATTGTATGTGGCAATTTGAGATTCTATGTCTAGATATTTTGCAATTTATTTTCAAAGTTGGCACTTTTTGCGGTCCATTATTACTGAATATTTCTTGTTATTTTGTGTTATTTTATATGATTTTTCCCTAATTAGACAAATAAAAAAAAGACTTTGATATTTCTTCCATATAATATGTTAATTCAAAAATGGAGGACAAAAGAAAACACAAAAGGAAACATATTTTAAGCATATTTAAAATGCCAAATATACTCTGCCTTATGATTAAAGCAAATAAAACTATAAATGGATTGAATGAATAATTATAAAAATAAATATATAATTTGAATAGCATAAATAAATAAAATAATAATTTAAGATGTTTACAAAGAAATTAAGATATATTCATACAGCCATGTGTATAGTATTACACAAACAAATAAAATATTACAAAGTGATGTGCTTAAGAATTATTAAATGAAAGAAATAATAAATGATTAAACTTAATTTTTTCAAAAAATTTGAATATCAAAATTTCTAAACTGCTTATCACATAATTATGGTACTGGAAAATCAGCATGGTTATAATTAACCTCAGTCACAGGCAAGTAAGTGTAACATTTGTTTTCCAAGCTGTATACGGAATAACTGATTGATGGCAATTACAAAAATATAGTTATATTGAATTAATATCCAGAATTATCCGTCATCATACGAAATTATACCTTTTATTTGGTTTGATTGTGAAATCATAAATGTAAGAGTTGTGGTTATTTGTTTGGTTAAGAGTTAACTGCCCTTGGTTTTGAAAATTCCAGTAGGTGGCAAGACCGCTATCCTCTGTTTTTAGAGGATAAAATCTATCCTCCAAAAACAGAGGCCGCCTAGACCTGATAAAAGTATCTGTTATCACGTACAACATACCAAAGACATAAATAAGAGATTTACAACATTTATTCACAATATGCATTTATATTGAATTTTTTAGATAAATTATAAATTTATTAAAAAAGGCAAAACGATTTATGATTTACCGATTACTTGTGTTTACAGTTTAGACAGGTATTAAGGTAAATTAAATAAATTTTAACAGGTTGGGAACAATCATCCCAACGGATTTAATTATATACCAACCACCAAATGGGCTTAATTAGTATCATCATAATAAGAGGGCAATGATCTCGCTTTTTATCTATTCATTGTTGTTAGGAAGAACGAACAGACACGACAACAAGATAGCTATTTTCGTTTCTTACCAACGATTTTGGTACCATTTCTCCTGCAATGACATAAATGAACAAGAGAATAGATATTCTTAAAATAAGATCAATTCCACAGAATGAACCATAAACTGGGACTGTCACTACCCAAAGGTAGGGTAAAAACTCAATTAGCCACAAAATCATATTGGTAAACACATGCAGATATACATTTTACATACAAATCAAATCGGATGTTAGCAAATGTAAATAAATTATAGAATGCATGGCGTCGTAAATTCCGGGAAAAAATTGGAAGACTTGTTAAAAAATATTCAAGATTTTGTAAATGTTAAATGTCATTTTCATTAATTACTGATTTAATAAATTATATACTATTTACCACTTTATTTTAAAAATATACAAGTCGAATTACCCTCAAAATGGTTACTAGATATACTTTTAAAATGTTTTAACAATTACATCTAACACAAAACGTATAGATTACAATATGTTAAAACTAAATCAGTATAGATAAGAAGAAATATCAATTGTTTTGCGCTCGTCAAGCCTCGCGTTTATTGACAATTAAAAAAGATTAATCAAGGAAATCGAGTTGGAGAAAATCCAGTAACTAACTCGCAACTGGAGGATTTAGAGCCCCCATTCCTCTTGTGACCAAAAATTACATAAGACTAATACATTAATTTTGTTGTTGTTGTTGTGCCGGGCCATCTTCAAAAAATTGCTTATGCTTGCCCTCTCCCGAAGCGGTCGGCCGGGAGAGAGCAAACCAAATTTTTTATAAAGATGATCAGGGTTATATATTGCATTAATTATATGTAAAGTATATATAACTTAAATAAGTCAAAAACTGTTCCATAAAATACTAAAACCCGATCGAGAGCTTTCGGGGGCTTCGCCAGTCTCTTAAATATAATTTTAAAAAAAAATCAAACAAACACAAATTGAACATTTTGCTTTATTTTCAAATTCATTTAAAAATTTACAATGATTTGGATTTTTTTACTTTCAATGTGGCCATTTTTTCACTTTTTAATGGTCTAACTACTAAATTTCATAAAGTTCCAATATATTTGCACTACAATACTCAATGAGATGACTGCATTAAAAAAGCAACTCAGATTTACATGTTATTGTTCATTTGATGTCATATAGCGAATTATCACTGTATTACTTAATATCAGATTTGATAAGTATACATAGTTTCAAAATTATTTCACTGTATTACTCTCTCAAATAGCAATGCAAAGGTATAAAAAAAAAAAAACAAAAAACTAAGTTTTACATGCTATCATTTATTTGATTCACAGAATTACATCAGGTATCAGATTTTATAAGTATAAAGTTCCACTGCCATTTCACTACAATGTCCGCTAAGATGTCAGCAATAAAAAGAACATAATTATTTAGAATTATGTTTTTTTAATTTTCTGTCACATTGTGAAGATGTACATGTTATTGTTTACTGGATGTTACACTGAAAAGAATATTTGATAATGGCTAAGATAAGTTTTAAGAAGCAAATATCATTTGTTGTCAGTACATCTGTAATGATCATGAATGATATTGGTGTTAAAACAATAGACATAACTACTAATACAAATACACGTATACCATTTTATTGCATTCTTTCTATAATATCAATATAAAATTAATCATCAAAGATAATAGTAAAATCCCATTCGATGTTACAAAAAACTTCCCAGGAAAAATAAGATAAAAATGACACAAAACAACGAAAAAGTTTCTTTGATGCAAAATGTTATTAAATGCTTCATATGCGTTCATTTACTGGAAGTATAAACTGTCCAATTTTTAGCTGGTGTAACAACAGAATTTGCTAGCATTGCTGATGATAGCACATGAAAAGTTATATTTTTTTCGCCCGAAAACATCAACAAAAAAAAGGATCGAAGGACCACAAGTCGGAAATTGCAGGACATTGTGTGACAATCACAGATGCATGCTTCTCACAAGGTCGCAGATAATAGTATTTGACAAAAGATCACATACTCTTATTACAAGGTCACAGGTGATTCACACTTTAACATTATATCACAAATTCCTAAACACAAGGTCTCATATCCTTAACAAAAGGTCACAACAGAGTCCTATTTCTCCTTCAGCGATAAATGCCCCTTTCCTAATTATTTTGATTGATCCATGACTTCAATTTATTCTGATATATTGTATAATTTTCCAGAACTTTCTTTGTTTCACAATTGTAAGACAGCTCAGATGAAATTTTTTTTGGATCTGTTCTATATAAAAAAAAAATTCAGATTAACAATTAAATGAAAAAATCAAAAAAGGATAAAAGTGGTTACGCAATAGTGCAATACACTTTCAGAAAAAAACAGGTCTTGGCGGCCTCCGTTTTTGGAGGATAGCTAAATTCAATATGGCGACCAAAATTTTTACCATATATGGAAACCGAGTTGCATTGTGGAATAGTTTATCCTCCGATTTCAGAGGAAAACACAGGTAATTTTCAAACACCTCGTGCCTACCTTTAATCAAAAAGTGCAAGCACCAGAGTACATGCAAGTACAAGTTCAAACATTAACTATCGATTGTATGTGGCGATTTGAGATTCTAGGTCTAGATATTTTGCAATTTATTCTCAAAGTTAGCACTTTTTGCGCTCCTTTGATACTGAATATTTCTTGTTATTTTGTTTTATTTTTTAATGATTTTTCCCTATTTAGACAAATAAAAAAGGACTTTAATATTTCTTTTATATTTTCTTTTAATTTAAAAAAAGGAAACACAAAAGGAAACGCATTTTAAGCGTATTTAAAACGCAAAATATACTCTGCCTTATAATTTAAGCAAATAAAAGTATAAATGGATTGAATGAATAATTATAAAAATAAATAAATAATTTGAATAGCATAAGTAAATATAATAAATAATTTAACATATTTACTAAGAAATTTACATATATTCATACAGCCATGTGCATACATAAACAAATAAAATATTACAAAGTGATGTGCTTAAGAATTATTAAATGAAAGAAGTAATAAATGATTAAAATTGATTTTGAAGTCAGCGTATGGTTCATAAATGCAAGAGTTGCTGTTATTTGTTTTGTTAAGAGTTAACTGCCCTTAGTTTTGAAAATTCCGGTAGGTGGCAAGACCGCTATCCTCTGTTTTTAGAGGATAAAATCTATCCTCCAAAAACAGAGGCCGCCTAGACCTGAAAAAGGAACTTAGACTCATAATCGGTCTGTATACTACATATAAATTGTTGCTTTAACGATTATGGTTTTCTAAAGAGATGTATTTTAAAAGTAAAATTCAAACAATTTTAGCAGAGTTTGCGTGGAAAAATTGGTCTCCGGGAAAGACATCTCAACTTCACTAATTTATAAAGAAATAATAGACATTTATCCCATCAAAAGCTATATATCTCTCCTATCAGAGTATCGATGAACTATTTTAAATGCCCCTGACAAAAACAACAGCAAGATATACTAATTTTGAATAACTGAGTATGAAAAAAATTTTCATGAAGTGAAAACGAGCCAAAGAAATTCAGACAATACAGGCATTACCACATGTACCTTACCGTTTATCCATGTATGGTTGAAATCGATCTCTGTTCTCCACACTTCTGTTGACACATAATGGATCCAGGATTGCGTAACCATCCACCTGATAACACAAAAAAGTCAGGAGGTCAAAGGAGTACCCCAGGTGCTTTGATCAACAAAGATTTCAACACATGGATTCAAAAGTGCAAAAAATGCACTTTGTCACTCACCCCTTTGGCCAATGTCACAAAAGGATCCAGGTAAGACTAAACAACCTAATGTTAACAGAAAAAAAATCAATATTCAAGGAATACTAATATCTAATGTCAAGTGAAAAAAAGTAATGAAGTAATCACAGTGCAAAGAACAAAGGGATTGAATACTATAAGTATTACCATCACTTTGTTGGCTGGCCTGCAGTCTATCTCTTCATTGTGAATTCTTCTTCCACAGGATGGTCTCATCTTCTTTAAGAAAGAAAGATCAAAAGAGATGACAGTCTTCATCAAGTGAAAACGAGCTTAAGAAATTCAGAAAATTTAGGAATTACACAAAAAACTCACCTTTTCCTCAATGGATGAATGCAGTAGATCTCTACTCTCCAAACTTCTGATGACACATGATGGAGCTGTAGCTCACAGTCGGATCAAGGCTTGCCTAACCATCCTCCTGTTAACACATATAGTCAGGAGGTCAAAGGAATACCCAAGCTGCTTTAATCAATTTTGATTTTAACACACGGAACAAATGCAGTTTGTTACTTACCCCTTTGGCCAACGTTGGCTATTGCTCAAAGCTTGGCAATGGACTACTCCTCCTCTTTTGGCTGGTGATACTCTTTCCGTGTTCTCTCCGTTTCTACCACGGATGGATGCTGTCGATCCCTGCTGACACACGATTAAGTTGTAGCCCACAGTGGGATCCAGGCTTGCCTAACAGCCCTCCTGTTAATACAGAAAGTCACGAGGTTAAAAGGAGTACCCCACCCGCTTTGATCAAGTTAGATTTAAACACAGGGATTCCAAAGTGCAGCAATTACAGTTTGTTACTTAACCCTTTGGCCAATGTTGGCTACTGCTCATAGCTGCGAAATGGTCTCCTCTTCTGTTGGCCGACCTCAGACTTCCCGTGTCGTCCCTCGTCCCTGAAAATATAAGACTGACAGAAAATTAGTAATGATTCAAAACAATTTCACAAATCACAAAAATTCATGTAAACATCATCATTACAATAAAACGAGATGACAAGGAAGTTAGCAAATGGGGACAGTTAGGTAAGAGTATAAGAGTGGGTTGAGAGGGCAATGATTAGTAATGTTAGAGTAGGGAGGGGGTAAAATAAATTTAAAAAAAACTTCTCTATCAGGCTCCATGTCTGCTGAAATGGCTCCTTCTTCTGCGCCTTGCATTTGGGTGCTGCTGCTCTGCATCCTGTTAATTAGAAGGCAAAATGGCAAATAAGCATCAATTGTCAACAAGTAAACATCAGAAAAATGTGCAGGAAGTAAAGCCCGAATCTTACCGCATCTTCCAATGACGGCTGCAGGTGACTTGTAGACGATGACTTCTCCTCACTACGGGATCCAAGTCACCCTTAACCATCTGCTGTTACCAAAACAAAATAAAAAGATGTCAAAGGAAAACTAAGAGCTCATGTCGAGTGAGAAAAGGTATGAAAATTTACAGTGCAAAGAACAAATAGACGTTGAATCTTACCAACACTTCTTTGGTTGGCCGCAGTTGATCCCTCCATTGTGAATTCTTCTTCCGCATGACTGTCTCATCATCCTCTTTAAGAAAAAAGACAAAAATCAAAAGAGGTGACAGTCTTCATCAAGAGAAAACGAGGCAAAGAAATTCAGACAGTACAGGTATTAAACACGAACCCTACCGTTTCTTCTATGGATGGATGCTGTCGATCCCTGCTCTCCACACCTCTGCTGACACACGATTAAGTTGTAGCCCACAGTGGGATCCAGGCTTGCCTAACAGCCCTCCTGTTAATACAGAAAGTCACGAGGTTAAAAGGAGTACCCCACCCGCTTTGATCAAGTTAGATTTAAACACGGATTCCAAAGTGCAGCAATTACAGTTTGTTACTTAACCCTTTGGCCAATGTTGGCTACTGCTCATAGCTGCGAAATGGTCTCCTCTTCTTCTGTTGGCCGACCTCAGACTTCCCGTGTCGTCCCTCGTCCCTGAAAATATAAGACTGACAGAAAATTAGTAATGATTCAAAACAATTTCACAAATCACAAAAATTCATGTAAAACATCATCATTACAATAAAACGAGATGACAAGGAAGTTAGCAAATGGGGACAGTTAGGTAAGAGTATAAGAGTGGGTTGAGAGGGCAATGATTAGTAATGTTAGAGTAGGGAGGGGGTAAAATAAATTTTAAAAAAAACTTCTCTATCAGGCTCCATGTCTGCTGAAATGGCTCCTTCTTCTGCGCCTTGCATTTGGGTGCTGCTGCTCTGCATCCTGTTAATTAGAAGGCAAAATGGCAAATAAGCATCAATTGTCAACAAGTAAACATCAGAAAAATGTGCAGGAAGTAAAGCCCGAATCTTACCGCATCTTCCAATGACGGCTGCAGGTGACTTGTAGACGATGACTTCTCCTCACTACGGGATCCAAGTCACCCTTAACCATCTGCTGTTACCAAAACAAAATAAAAAGATGTCAAAGGAAAACTAAGAGCTCATGTCGAGTGAGAAAAGGTATGAAAATTTACAGTGCAAAGAACAAATAGACGTTGAATCTTACCAACACTTCTTTGGTTGGCCGCAGTTGATCCCTCCATTGTGAATTCTTCTTCCGCATGACTGTCTCATCATCCTCTTTAAGAAAAAAGACAAAAATCAAAAGAGGTGACAGTCTTCATCAAGAGAAAACGAGGCAAAGAAATTCAGACAGTACAGGTATTAAACACGAACCCTACCGTTTCTTCTATGGATGGATGCTGTCGATCCCTGCTCTCCACACCTCTGCTGACACACGATTAAGTTGTAGCCCACAGTGGGATCCAGGCTTGCCTAACAGCCCTCCTGTTAATACAGAAAGTCACGAGGTTAAAAGGAGTACCCCACCCGCTTTGATCAAGTTAGATTTAAACACGGATTCCAAAGTGCAGCAATTACAGTTTGTTACTTAACCCTTTGGCCAATGTTGGCTACTGCTCATAGCTGCGAAATGGTCTCCTCTTCTTCTGTTGGCCGACCTCAGACTTCCCGTGTCGTCCCTCGTCCCTGAAAATATAAGACTGACAGAAAATTAGTAATGATTCAAAACAATTTCACAAATCACAAAAATTCATGTAAAACATCATCATTACAATAAAACGAGATGACAAGGAAGTTAGCAAATGGGGACAGTTAGGTAAGAGTATAAGAGTGGGTTGAGAGGGCAATGATTAGTAATGTTAGAGTAGGGAGGGGGTAAAATAAATTTTAAAAAAAACTTCTCTATCAGGCTCCATGTCTGCTGAAATGGCTCCTTCTTCTGCGCCTTGCATTTGGGTGCCGCTGCTCTGCATCCTGTTAATTAGAAGGCAAAATGGCAAATAAGCATCAATTGTCAACAAGTAAACATCAGAAAAATGTGCAGGAAGTAAAGCCCGAATCTTACCGCATCTTCCAATGACGGCTGCAGGTGACTTGTAGACGATGACTTCTCCTCACTACGGGATCCAAGTCACCCTTAACCATCTGCTGTTACCAAAACAAAATAAAAAGATGTCAAAGGAAAACTAAGAGCTCATGTCGAGTGAGAAAAGGTATGAAAATTTACAGTGCAAAGAACAAATAGACGTTGAATCTTACCAACACTTCTTTGGTTGGCCGCAGTTGATCCCTCCATTGTGAATTCTTCTTCCGCATGACTGTCTCATCATCCTCTTTAAGAAAAAAGACAAAAATCAAAAGAGGTGACAGTCTTCATCAAGAGAAAACGAGGCAAAGAAATTCAGACAGTACAGGTATTAAACACGAACCCTACCGTTTCTTCTATGGATGGATGCTGTCGATCCCTGCTCTCCACACCTCTGCTGACACACGATTAAGTTGTAGCCCACAGTGGGATCCAGGCTTGCCTAACAGCCCTCCTGTTAATACAGAAAGTCACGAGGTTAAAAGGAGTACCCCACCCGCTTTGATCAAGTTAGATTTAAACACGGATTCCAAAGTGCAGCAATTACAGTTTGTTACTTAACCCTTTGGCCAATGTTGGCTACTGCTCATAGCTGCGAAATGGTCTCCTCTTCTTCTGTTGGCCGACCTCAGACTTCCCGTGTCGTCCCTCGTCCCTGAAAATATAAGACTGACAGAAAATTAGTAATGATTCAAAACAATTTCACAAATCACAAAAATTCATGTAAAACATCATCATTACAATAAAACGAGATGACAAGGAAGTTAGCAAATGGGGACAGTTAGGTAAGAGTATAAGAGTGGGTTGAGAGGGCAATGATTAGTAATGTTAGAGTAGGGAGGGGGTAAAATAAATTTTAAAAAAAACTTCTCTATCAGGCTCCATGTCTGCTGAAATGGCTCCTTCTTCTGCGCCTTGCATTTGGGTGCCGCTGCTCTGCATCCTGTTAATTAGAAGGCAAAATGGCAAATAAGCATCAATTGTCAACAAGTAAACATCAGAAAAATGTGCAGGAAGTAAAGCCCGAATCTTACCGCATCTTCCAATGACGGCTGCAGGTGATTTGTAGACGATGACTTCTCCTCACTACGGGATCCAAGTCACCCTTAACCATCTGCTGTTACCAAAACAAAATAAAAAGATGTCAAAGGAAAACTAAGAGCTCATGTCGAGTGAGAAAAGGTATGAAAATTTACAGTGCAAAGAACAAATAGACGTTGAATCTTACCAACACTTCTTTGGTTGGCCGCAGTTGATCTCTCCATTGTGAATTCTTCTTCCGCATGACTGTCTCATCATCCTCTTTAAGAAAAAAGACAAAAATCAAAAGAGGTGACAGTCTTCATCAAGAGAAAACGAGGCAAAGAAATTCAGACAGTACAGGTATTAAACACGAACCCTACCGTTTCTTCTATGGATGGATGCTGTCGATCCCTGCTCTCCACACCTCTGCTGACACACGATTAAGTTGTAGCCCACAGTGGGATCCAGGCTTGCCTAACAGCCCTCCTGTTAATACAGAAAGTCACGAGGTTAAAAGGAGTACCCCACCCGCTTTGATCAAGTTAGATTTAAACACGGATTCCAAAGTGCAGCAATTACAGTTTGTTACTTAACCCTTTGGCCAATGTTGGCTACTGCTCATAGCTGCGAAATGGTCTCCTCTTCTTCTGTTGGCCGACCTCAGACTTCCCGTGTCGTCCCTCGTCCCTGAAAATATAAGACTGACAGAAAATTAGTAATGATTCAAAACAATTTCACAAATCACAAAAATTCATGTAAAACATCATCATTACAATAAAACGAGATGACAAGGAAGTTAGCAAATGGGGACAGTTAGGTAAGAGTATAAGAGTGGGTTGAGAGGGCAATGATTAGTAATGTTAGAGTAGGGAGGGGGTAAAATAAATTTTAAAAAAAAACTTCTCTATCAGGCTCCATGTCTGCTGAAATGGCTCCTTCTTCTGCGCCTTGCATTTGGGTGCCGCTGCTCTGCATCCTGTTAATTAGAAGGCAAAATGGCAAATAAGCATCAATTGTCAACAAGTAAACATCAGAAAAATGTGCAGGAAGTAAAGCCCGAATCTTACCGCATCTTCCAATGACGGCTGCAGGTGATTTGTAGACGATGACTTCTCCTCACTACGGGATCCAAGTCACCCTTAACCATCTGCTGTTACCAAAACAAAATAAAAAGATGTCAAAGGAAAACTAAGAGCTCATGTCGAGTGAGAAAAGGTATGAAAATTTACAGTGCAAAGAACAAATAGACGTTGAATCTTACCAACACTTCTTTGGTTGGCCGCAGTTGATCCCTCCATTGTGAATTCTTCTTCCGCATGACTGTCTCATCATCCTCTTTAAGAAAAAAGACAAAAATCAAAAGAGGTGACAGTCTTCATCAAGAGAAAACGAGGCAAAGAAATTCAGACAGTACAGGTATTAAACACGAACCCTACCGTTTCTTCTATGGATGGATGCTGTCGATCCCTGCTCTCCACACCTCTGCTGACACACGATTAAGTTGTAGCCCACAGTGGGATCCAGGCTTGCCTAACAGCCCTCCTGTTAATACAGAAAGTCACGAGGTTAAAAGGAGT